ATCCCTAACCAGAAAATACTCCTAGGTACGACTATAGGAATTAATTTTCCAATTGGATTAAAAACTAGAAAAACCTAACCCCAATCAATAACAGTAGGAGGGTTATTTAAATTAGATTGCACGTTCCCCTAGTATGTAAACATGCCAGTTGCCACTAATATTAATCAATCAAATAATTACGGATTTAATTGACTAATTTGACAGGAGATTAATAAGTCACATTGAACATCGGGCCCTTGACATCCAATTAACAAAATAATCCCATGGAAATTCAAATAGGCAATGTGCAAATATTAACAAATTAAGAAATGCGTGAAAACTAGTTAGATCTTATAGATATTTGGGACTACGCCGTCGAGTTGATCCTTGACTAGATGAAAGACTTAGCCACGCCGCATAAATAAATCTCCATTCAAATTAATTGACTCCATGAATGTCAAACCATTTTTCACTAATTAATCAAGTAAAAGATGTTTTTCCCCGTTGGGAATTTTGTCGAACAGTAGGCGTGCATGAAAAAAGAAGGAAAACTAAACTATTGCTAAAAACTGTCCCTAGCCTCTATACGTTTGTTTCTAAACATTGACTAATGCCTTTCTATCTCCCTGGTCCCCGCCGAAATTGAGAATCAACCGAAAGTGAGGCTCTGCCAGAATTCCCTTTCTTTTCGTTTTCCATTCCTAGGAGGACTGCTAGTCAGCAGCTCTTCATCAGCCAAAAGCAAAAGGAAATCCGTCTCCTTCTCAACTATGTTTTCAAAACCGGACTGGGTATCGACTCGGTCAAGCTCAGGGGTCAGGGGTCAATGGATTCAATCGGGTTCGATAAGGGTTAAATTGGATGACGTCATAAATAAAATTTATTTAAAAATTAAAATATTATATGTAAAATATCTAATAACATGTTTATATTAATAAAGGTATATTTATATATATTTGATGTTTTAAATATATTTAACAAGAAAATACAAAGAAATTAGAACAATCAAGTAACAATTTATATTATTTAATGAGCATTAACAAGTTTAGAATTAAAATTATGGACTTAATTGAAAAATAATACCAAACTTTAAGAAAATATTGATAAAGTATGAAATATTTGAGGTATATTAATAATTTTTAACAATTTAGGGGTCAAAACATAATATTGAAAAAGTTTGAGTTTTTTTTTTTGAAAAAACTGTTTGAACCGGAAAATCCGGTTTTTTTGGTCAAACCCGATTTTTGACCGGATTTGACCGGGTTTTTACTTACCCAGTTTTGAATCATGATTCGGACCGGACATTTGGCCGGTTCCCGATTCGACCGGTCCGAATCTGAAAACACAGCTTCTCAACACCATGTGGCCCGGTTTGTGAAGCCCTTAGAAGTCTCAATTTTCTCCAGAAAGTCCCTCCTATTTTGTGCTTTTCTGTTCCACTCCCTGAAATTGAATCCAGATACCAAATATAAGTATATATAAACAATTAAACAATATTTGGCAAGGACAATGGGGGGAATTAATAATAAAATTACTAACAATTAACACCCTATCAGTTTAGAGAAAATCTAAATTATATGCTCAAGTTCTTGTGAATTATTTCCAAGAACCCTAAAAATAAATATACATAGTAGATTTAATGGGAAAATTCGAATGAAAGCTCACTAATATACTATTTTGATAGGTTGAGTGTCCAATTTGAATGAAAGATCACCAAGAATATATTGTTTGTATCTTTCAACGGGTATTTAAGATTATTTTGCTTATCTATTTGGACAAATTTGCCTATAGTTTTTGGCACGTGCAGTGCACAAACAACTCATTCTGTTAGGTTTGACATTGAATTTGGATGGAATAGCCACTAATATATACATTTGTGAGTTGAGTGGCCTTTTTGAATCAAAAAATAATTGAATGATTAAAAGCGTATCATCAAAACAGTTTAGTGACTGCAGAAATTTTTTGCCTTCAAGTCGAGAAACTCAATGAACATATTTACGCTTAGGTTTTGACATGTGATTTGCACGTGTTAGGTTTATTTTGTTGATTAAGAGCAAAATCTGACGAAATAGTCATAGATATACTAATTAGTTAGTTGAGTGACGAATTGGGATAAAAAATAGTTTGATAGTCCAAAGTAGATGCAAGTAATAGTTTAATAGTCGTCGAGATATTTTACTCTTTGTAATTATCATATAGTCTAATAAATAAAAAAACTATCTGATAAAAGTGATAGGGGAAGTGGGATTAACAAAAAATAGGGAGTTGAATTAACATTTCCCATTTTTTAATTTCAGTACAAGTCTAGATCACGTGAGGGCTGCCAATCATGAGCTCATGGAGAAACATATTATTAGGATCTGTTAATGATTTTTCCTTTGATTGATGTGGCTACCTAAACTAAAATTTAGAGGATTACCTTGATTTACGTAATGTGGAATACTATGAAATAAACTAAAGAGCAGGTAAAGCCAAAACTTATACTAGAAATAAAAAGATTTTAAATTAACCAGAAAGGCTAGTCATAAGCAAAAGATGAAAAAATTTAAAAACATGCCCTAAAGAAATAAAGCAGAGCACAAATTTGGTATTTGTGTCGATTGTACATTAGATTTTACTTACAATTCAATAGTTGCAATTTTATACTATGGAGTTATGTATTAAGGAAAAGGTCTAATAAGCATTGCTTTTTCTAAGAGAATTAAGTTGATGAGGTCTAATAATCAAAGACTTTCCGTGATATTTTTGCCTTTTACACATCCCAATTTTTCTTTGAAGAACATGCAAATTTTGTTTTGAATATTTAATTGTATTCTTGAGCAATTAAAATATAGCTATGTATCACTTTTCAACAAAACTAGAATCATGTTAGATGAAACATAATTTGGAGCTCCTATAAGACAATAGTACTGATGATTAAATTCTAAATCAGAATGATGATGAGCATTGAAAACTAGACCATGTAAGAACAAAAAGAATCGCTGATTCTATAATAAAGAAAATAGAAAAATAATCTGCCGAATCATTGAACGTTAAAAATAAACTATTCATATAGAAGAATAGTTATGAACTAACTACTACATTTTTTTAATGAGAAAATGAGTACAATTGCTTCTAAAGGTAATTAAATAAGTGTATATATTTTTTGTGGCCTAAAGGATAAGTATCATTTTACCTAATAATCACATAAAATTACTAAAAAGAATTCAACATTAGATAAACCAAAGAAAAAGCTCATGAACTTGATTTGATTATTTTCTTTTACACGTGCAAAAGTTAGACCGAAAAGGTTGGACAGATTATGATTAAGATTTCTTAAATAGCTTTTATTACTTAACAAATATGCCATTCTTTGATTTAGTTTTCTACTTTTTGTGTTGTATTTGCTTATTTGATGGAAATTAGTAGTTGTTTCTTTTTTATTTGAATGTAGAATTGTACTTAATATCCGTTGTCAAGTTCTCTAATAGTCTTTCTTATGCAATAATAAGGAAATTTGATTATGACAAGTGATATATAGGTTCGAGAGTTTTGATATGCATAGACGATGGATGTATTCTAAAGAACGGGCTGCAAAAGAATACTCTACAAATCTTAAGAAAATTTTGGACTATGCTTAATTATTGATGAAATGCAATGAATTGGTTTTTCTTTGTTTTTTTTTTAATTCACCATAACTCAAAGAAATGTTTCTTTGTAACTGTTGGAATTTTGCATGTGCAATCAAATAAATAAACTAGTGCTCTTGAAAATCCTCTTGCAAGAAATTTTATGTTTTATGTGCCAGGTCAATTAACAAGATTCAGAATTCAGGAGCATGAACCCAGTAGATCCAAATGCATGCCAAAAGGATCATTCTTGCCAAAAAGGCCTTGGTCTGGTGGTTAAAATTGATGTCTCGGGAATTAGATATCTTGAATTCTAAACCTGTTGCCCCCTTATTAAATCCCACCATTTCTCTACTAGAAAAGCAAAAAAAAAAAAAAAATCTTGAACCCTAGCTAACTTTTAACTACATGAGATGCTGAAATTTAATCATCAAAGTCACTAACATTTGTTAGGAAATTAGTTTAATTTCTTTTAGGCGGGTTTTTTTGTTTTGTGTGTAAGTATTTAGTTACTTCGAATAGTTGCCAAATTATTTCCTATTTTGTATTTGTTTAGGAATTAGAAGTTATTTTTTATTCCGTATGAGATTAGGAATTAGCAATTATTTCCTGTTATTACTTGGATATTGGCAAGTATTGTAACTTATAAATAAGTGGGGGGTTAGCATGCTACAAAGTGAAACACAAGGGACGCACAAAGGTGATGTGTAGCTTCAATGAGATGAGAGATGGTATACGAAGGGTTAGGCTTGAGTTCAATTTGTATTGTTATATAGGGTTTTCTTTTCATAATAAAAAATGAAATTCTCTCCATAGACATAAACTCAATGATAGAGTCGAACTACGTTAAATCTTGTGTATCGTTTATCTTTCATATTTGTGACTTTTTTATCATTAAATTATTGTGTACTTGATGTCTTAGTAGTAGTTTGCTCCACGCTTGGATCCCAACAGCATTCGACTTAGTGGCTTAGACAAGCTATAAACCATTTTATCATTTTGAGGATCTGAGGCACTGCCTTTAAAAGTTAACCTGACTAAAAAGAAAGGTAATCCGTTGCACATTTCCACTATTAATTGCAGAGAAAATCAACTGTCGGTGGTCAGCGCAATCAATCAGTAGGTCTTCTTGAACGAAAAGTGGTCCAAGATAGTGGTTAGTACTTGACACTCGGTAAAACATTCAACCATTTTCCTGTCATATTCTAGTAACGCAGCTCCAAACAGATTACCTGAATTAGCTACTAAATTGTGCTTAGATTCAATGGTGTATTCAAACAGATTTGAACATCGTGTAGTGGGGTTTGTGCATTATCATGAGATCTATTATGCAAAATTTCAACAGAGATCATAGGAACCACAAATTGATCTAATAAAGTCATAAGAAAAAAGTGAAATGACGAAAGTTATGACTTAGTGATCAGATGCTTCTGAAGTTGAAGGATTAAAGGTATTGTTTTCAACTACAATAATCTCATCTGGCCTGATGCCTCTTCCCTTGAGGAAATTGGAGTACCAATGTGCAGAGAGCTTTGGGTATCTTCTCAATTGCTTGTCATCCAAATCGACGTAGTACAGGCCATAAGCTGTCTGATAGCCTCCCAGAAACTCTAAGCCATCCATGAAAGACCATACAAAGTAGCCTTTTGTGTTCGATCCGTTTCTTCCGAAATTTCAAGATGAAGGACCAAAACAAATCAGGAACATTAAGAAGAAAAAAAATAGAAAAAGAAAGAGTCATTTATGCAGTAAGTCATAAAGCTAAAAGCATTAGACATTTAGACAGAACATCCAAAAAACACACAAGTAGATATTACATATGTCATATGTGCACATGCTTACTTTATAGCATCAAGCAAGGTCCCGATACATGAACGCATGTATTTCACCCTTGGCGTGTCGATTAGTGTTCCATTGCGCTTGGTTGATTTACCTATCAAAACCAATCGTCCAAAAGATTCTAAAACATTTTGCTATCGTGGTTAGAAAGAAGAGAGAGAGAGAGAGAGAGAGAGATAAGCTGCATATGTTCAAGAAACTTCTGATCATAATTTGATCAGGTGAGAATTACAAATTAAAGCAGAGCTAAGCAGCAAGGGAAAAAAAAAATGACTAGAGTCTATAAGAGCTCTGCACGCTAGGTGGCTGAACCTTAGAGTTTTGGCTGTTGCAACCATGCAAACATAATCCAAAAGAAAATGAAAAATTCTCAAGCATCGGATTCGATTAAGTTGGCAGATTTCTGGTTAAAGTAATTGCTCCATTTCTCATTGTTGGCCCAAAAAGGCCAGATGCTGTACCATGTTAAGCATTTGACTGAATCAGGACAACAGGACAGCTACAAAAAGAAGTCTCAGGTATCCATGCAAAGGAAAAGAGGCAAATATTCTTGGATCTGTACATTGATGTATTTGTATGTGTAAGAGGGAGAGAGAAAGAGAGAGAGCAAACCATTTTCTTGGACGTAAATAGGTGGGTTGGCATAAACTTTCTTGATATACTCCAGAAGGGGAAAAAGATCGGATGATTCAAGTACATTCTGTTCCAAACAAGAAAGTTAATAATAGTGATCGAAAATGATGGACAGAATATCATGAAATTAAATTCTTAACCCCACCTGATTCGATGGTGCGTCTTCTGGCTCAACTGAAGAAACCGAAAATAGGTACAGAAATTAGTTCAATTCAAACACAAGATATATATGTCCACAAAAGTCATAAGAGAGTTGTAGATTTTGGGAAAATGAGAAGCATTAAGGATGCTTAAGATGAAACTAAGTCCGTACACAAGTTCTCGTAGAACTAACATACAGAGGACAGGCACAATGGCTTAGCAAAAATATGGGGATGGTTGATTAACTAGACAATAGCAAATTCAATGAGCAAAGAGTAATTAAAGCTCAAAAAAAAAGAGTACATACAGAAGATGCTTAGCGCCATATCAGCAGTCATGTCCCTGATATTCATAGTAAGGCTGCCAGGATTGTCCCTGACATAGAATGTGAAATAATAATTCAGCGCTATAAAGTCAAATGAGCCCTTAATTAGCTTAGATTCGCGGGGAGTAAATGCTGGAATCCTCTTGCCAGCATTCTTCTTTACAATGTCAGGATAGTCTCCAAACACCAATGAATGGAGGAACCTGCAGAGGAATTGTGGATAAACCTTAAGATATGCTTATCTTTTTGCTTCAGGTAGCAAAGCAAAGATAGCATCTTGCTATTTGTTAGGGACGATTAAATGCAAAGGTACTTATCTACCAATGATTCATTACTCACCAACCAAAATAAAAATCAAATGCTCTTTGAGTTGCAAATACATCTTCAGTAGTATTAGAATATGGAGAAAACCAAGGAGCAAAGATGTTTAGTCCCACAAAACCATGTTGAATGGCCTGTGCAGCACACAAATTTTCGTTAGTTAACTTACTTCCCATAATGTTTCCCCAGAAGCAAAGATCCATAAAAAGAACTACCAATAAGAATTTTAAAGAGAAATATTTAATGTCTTATTGTGCTGTTCTTCCTGAGCAGATTCAAGGTGGGAAGTCATTAATTCAGGCTGCATCACACCCCATAAGTCATTAGGAGTGGGGAAAGGGGGCTTACCCATAGGATTGCCTTTCCATTCCCAGGCTATATATTAAGCTACACCTCATGCCAATCCCTAATGGCCACCTGTACAGTACTTGATCTCTATTCCAAAATATTCTTCTCTTCCAGTTCAACAAAGTGCTGGGAGCACTTGCAACCAGGTTTTCTTCTACGAGACAAACGAATATTGGCATTCCAACTTAAAGTAAATCGTTATATCCATAATTGAAACCAAAATTGGTCGCAAGTATGATTATAACGGCAACTCTTCCAATGCAAATCACTATATAAGATTCAGAATGTAGCACGAATTACTCAAGACAGCCACCAGGCAAGGATTCTACTACTTGGTATACTATGAGAAGTAGAATAAATGCATTGCATAACGTAAATGTTAAAAATTTAACTACGAAAGCAAATTCTAGGTGCAACCCTTTTTTGCACAGGTTCAACTAACTTTGTGCAATCATCTCGAGCATTTCCAGTTAACACCACTAACATTTTGTAGTTCTTCCATCTGTGACTACTAGGTAGGAGTCACCTCAGTAGATGCAGAGATGTATATGGTTGGATCATGAATCTTTGAAAAACCAAGAGTTTAATAAGATCACTGTGACAAATCAAGTTTTCAATCACTGTAGTAGAACTATCAAGGTAGAAAACACCAGATTACGTGAGAAAATTATGAAATAAGGCATTTTAGCAATACCTTATACTTTCTGTAATATAGTTTCACGGCAGATGAATGTGCCAGCAACAAGTTATGACCAGCAATGTATGGCTCAATTGACGAATTGCCCTCAGTACACATCAGTCCAAAAGGCCGAGAGCAGCGCCCTGGGGGAATAATTCCAGTATCATAACCAGCAATGGCAATCATATTGGCCTCATTTAAGGTAGTCCAATGCAAAACCCTGTCTCCAAATTCCTTGAAGCATACATCAGCATAGGCAGTAAAGTCTTTCCTGAAGTCATAAACGAATGATGGTATAAATACAAATTATGGTTTAAATTTAATCATGCAATAACCAAATGTACTTCACAATGCATACCGTGTATATAACAAGCTTAAAAGTGAATGGATCAAAATGACAAATATCAAATTCTTACACCATTTTTTGGCTGAGCCATCCCCCATATTCATCTTCAAGAACTTGAGGGGCATCAAAGTGAAAGAGCGTGACGTGTGGCTGAATTCCTGTTTGTATCATCAGAGAGCTAATATAATCAGACATAAACGCATTAAGATGAAATGATACTTGGATAGATCGATCTTCAACAGTGTTCAGGAAGTTTAAATGTACGATTGGGATTTGATTCAGTATCATCTCATTTCCGAAGTTTAACTGTAAACTAGAGACTTGATTCAGTGCTTAGTTATTAAACAGAAAAACTTACCATGCATGAGAAGTTCATTGATGAGATTGTTGTAATATTCTAAGCCTTTGGGGTTGACATGGCCTCTTCCATCTGAAAAGAGAGAGAAAAAAACCAAGTTTGAGAAGAAAGAAATAAAATGTGCAGTGGTCTTATATAAGTTAATGGTAATACAATAGCACTATACATACTAGGAATAAGTCTTGACCAGGAAATAGAGAATCTGTAAGCCTCCAAACCTATGTCAACCATGTGTTGGACATCTTCCTGAAACAAATAAATTTCCTATAGTGAACCGCATCCTAATTATATGAAGATTCAATTATCAGGCTACTGAGGTCAAAATATCTAATAATGCACTATCTCTTAACCAGCAAATATATTCAAAGAACAGGCTACAGAATTGAGTTGTACAGCAGAATGTTTAGAGATACTGCTGGATGGAATCAAGAAAGGCCTGAGGTCGTGAATATTTAGTCTGATAACTAGTGATAACAGTAGCTGCTGATAGAGGCAGCAGGTTGTTTATTTTTTTGTATAAGTTTGTTTTTGGTTGCATAATTTTCTAACATAATGTGGAGCTATGCTGCTGGTTATTTTTTTACTGATTATCAGTAAAACAACTATAGAATGACCTAAAGATTGCAGTTAGTAGTTTGCAATTGTAATATTGAAGATAGAAGACCAGTGTTTACCAAGCAAGTCAGAAAGATGAGAACTGTTTTAGATTTCTGTCCTCAGTTTGGTAGGAAGACGGGAAATAAGAGAGATAAGAACTTGATTTATGTTCTAATACTTGTAGTAATTACTTTTGTTATAAACATCTACTATAAAATCATCTTGATTTTTCTGAATTAATTGTTACAATCTGCTGTTAGCTGCAATAATTGAATCACTTAAAGCTTCTATGCTCAAAGTTTACTACTACATAAATCACTTTCATCCATGATCATTTACTATCTACAACCACAAAAATCTGATTGAGGATCAAATTCGTGGAAGGTAAACAAATATCTAATCCTCTCTTAATTAGCCTCACAATTTGGGGGATCAGATATCTTAGCAATTGATAGTACCAATTGTTTGACAGAATGTAGAAACTAAGACAATAACGAAGCTGATCTTAGTACAGTAAGTGCAGATACTAATACAACAAGGACGTATACATGCAGTGATCACCCTCGAGTCCTACGGAGTTCTGAATCTTTTCAAATTTTCAGTCTCCACTACATAAAATTTGTTTTGATATATAATAACCATTAACTTTCTCCAGCAAAAGTGAACCCCAATTTGGGAATCATTCCTTTTTGCTAAGATTTGCTAATGATGGTGCAATTTCATCAATATGCCAGAAAGCCAAAAGGCAGGAAAGAAATGTGTACCTTGTATTTGTGATATTGATCACATGCTACGTCTCCTGTGTCTCCATTAAAAAACCCTGAAAATTTTACTCAACAGTAGGGCTTACTGGTGGGAAAAGAAAAAGACTAGAGCAAAAAAAATTTTATTTCAAGAAAACTCACCTTTATTGGCATGGACAAAGGTATCCCAAATGCTAGGAGTCCTTCCATCTTCAAGAGCTGCCCCCTCTACCTATGTATATGTCTATGATTATTAATCTGTTATATCTATAACACTGTTATGTATATAATCATGTGCAAGAAAAAGAAAACAGAGAGAGTACTGACTTGATATGCAGAAGCGCCAGCGCCAAAAACAAAGTCTGCTGGGAAGTCTGATCTTTTATAGTTCTTCACTCTGGCTACCACCATTATAGCCTGAAATTGTAACAACGTTAGCACCACTAGTACTAGAATCAGAGGAGCAGAAGCATGCGTAAGACTTCTATGTTTCTGTTTCCACATGGTGTCTAAATTTGTAGAGCTTTTTTATCTGCTATTTCTATGCTATTGATGGCTTTCATTCATTTCCATTGATGACTTAAATACACATCCAAACATAGTCACATTTCAAGAAATCTTGTTTGTCTGTTTACAGGACTGCAATGTGGGCAAGGGCTCTTAAATTTCCATAGAAAACAACGTCATTCCTTTGATCATTCAGCCGGCGGTCCATCAAACGTAATTCTACCACAATAAACAAATTAAAATATGCAGTACGTATGTAAATGAAAAAAGTAGTACATTCACACACTAAACTGAATAGTTGTACAGGTTTAATCAATCTGTGACGCTCCATACTCGGTACATAACACCACCGTACCCTGTGATTAATCCACAAGGCACAAAGCTAAATGAATTTAAATTTCATCAAATATCAAATACATTCATCTACATAGTCAAACATTTTCTTTACAACTACGGGAGATTTCATTTCACAAGTTCACTAAGGATCCAACCTAATACAAATATATAATCAACCACCTTTAAGTACTTACATAACTAAGCAAATATCGAAAACCAAATATAAATTTCCATTTTTTTTATTGCAATCATCTCTCCATTAGATTCAAAGACTAAACACCGCAAATCCTTAACTTGAACCTCTTTAAATGCTATAATCTCTGCAAAATGATAATAAATGGAGTGAATAACAACTTGTTCAGTAAGTAGCACATGTACTTTCTTATTGGCATGAACACATTAGTATATGTAATACCGTGCATAATAATCCCTCATGTTTCTAACTTTCAGCATTCACCACCAATGTTGCTATATGCCCCTCCAAAACCCGAGGGGCTTGGGTACTGTACTCCCTATGTACTGGTGATTTATGTTTTTATTTGTGGACTAGTCATGATGTTGTTAAATGTTGATTTAATTGTAATGTTATTGAAATATTGTTCTTATAATTGTGGATTAGTTTATAAGAATTTTTTTAAAAAAGGTACACTAGTACCATTATAATAATTGACAGAGCAATTACACTATATAATTTTATACAACAAGTGTACGCACCAAACAACAAATTTTTTTCTCTAGAATAGCAATATCCAAACACTTTATTAGGTTCGCATTGAAAGGTGTGTTTTAATATGTTGTAATTATTGTGTACATTTTTGAGTTTATCTTAGTATTTACACTTTGTCATTTCAATGAATAAGCTGCTAAATCAATGTAGACATTGACTTATATATGGGGCCTCTTTGGTGGACTGTTTTGAGTTTTTCTCTTGAGTAAACTGCTTACTTTTTCGTGTGACAAATAAATAGTTTCTAACAGTTCTGTAGTTACTAGCCAAAAAGATTTCCTATCTATACGTGTTTTGGAAATTACTATAAGTGTTATCGAAAAAAAAAAAGTAATGGCGTACTACAAGATGCACACAAGGAAGCCGTATAGACATACAGAGAAGGTGAGAGAGCGTTGTTGGGCGAGAGTGACGTTATACTCATAATAGAAGAATGGTTTTCTCACCGTTGACATATATTTGGTATTAAATTGAATCATGTTAAATCTTATTCATGCTATGTTTCATTAAATTATTATATTGTTGATTTCACACTAATAATTTGTTCCACGTCTGGATACCTAACATTTTCTTCATTGGACTCTCTAGTGAATTCTTCTTGGCTATCCTATATGATTTTTTTAACCTGCAAGTACTATTCTTAAAGTATATGAATCAAAGTCCTTATCATGAAAATTTCGACTTTAATCTTGGGAGCAGAGTTACTTTTCTTGTTTTCCAATCGAAAGCAGACATACTGATACCATGAGGGCTTGAACCCTAGATCTAACATCATTCATGTCATATACCTATGTAGAACTAGGGGGTGCTTGTTCTGTCATTCTTTTTTTTTTTGTCGAAACGTTAGATGATTTTATAAATAGTAAATCTATACAGATTCAAGTAAAGACTTGAAAGAACATTACAGTCAGTGTATCCTAACACTGAGGAATCCAAAATTCCTGATCCTCTATCAATTCAAGCGCTTGCACGCTCAGCCAGTGACTAATATGGTTACTATTCCAATTTACTAAACAAAAAGAGCACATGTGGAACAAGGACTGAAGGTTGTCGATATCCTCCATCAGAGTGACCATGCGCATATCCTGAACTTTCCTTTGCTGAATGAGATTGTACGTTCGTTTGTTCTGGATTTGCACTTCAATCCTTTCCATTTGTTGCCCTGCAGCTTTACACAGCAGAAGTTTGATGGCTGTTAGTTCGTCTATGACTTGGTGACCAGAACTTCTTTCTTGTAAGGTCCAGCCTCGCATCATGTTTTGATTGTCCCTAGAGACTGTGACTCCTATTCCCACTTGAGGCGTGACTTTACTTCTTTCTGCTGCAAACCTTAATCTCAGAATGTCTTCCATTTCTACCTGGTGCTGGGGGGGTTCCATCTGTTCCCTTGTTCCTTCTGTACTCGACCTTAAAGTCTTTGTCGCTGCCTCTTCATACTCCAACCATTCCTCCTGAGCTTTTTGTATTATTCTCAGAGGGGGGTACTGCTTAGCATTGAACTCCTTTGCATTTCTACCTTTCCAGATTTGCCATAGAATATTCGCTGTTAGGGAGATGTGTTTGTTTCCCTCAATCCTCTTGGTAGCTTCCATCAATGTATCCCACCACCTACTAAAGTTACCATGCTGATCTAGTAGGCCTTCCCACTGAATAGGTGACATTTTCCACACTACTTTGACCTGGTTGCAATCAAGCAGAGCATGCTCAATCGTCTCACCTTGCTCACCACAATTTCTGCATATTGGATCACCTTGTTTGGTTCTATCAAAGATGAGTTGTCTAACTGGTAACACCTGGTTCAGGCATTTCCACAAGAAAATCTTCACCTTATGTTTGATATTCAGCTTCCACAGGTGCTTCCAGCATTTTTTCCTATTCGAGCTCCAGCTTGTACCAGTTACCTCCTTGTTTACCTGCTCACGTTCCATCAGGCCTTCAGCTTGTACTTTGTAGGCTGATCTCACTGTATAGTTCCCATTTGAGCTGTGAACCCAGTAATTGCTGTCCTCTCTGTTGGTTAGGCTTATGGGGATGCTTAGAATGCACTCTGCCTCCTTGGCACTAAAGTTTCTGAAAATCAGATTTTTGTTCCATCTCTTCTGGATGATCAGCTCCTCTACTTTAAGCAGATTACATCCCTGTGGTTTCTGTGAAATAACCTTTCCTTGATGGTTATCCGGCAACCAGCTATCCTCCCATATATTGGTACTCTTCCCATTGCCTATTCTTCTCCTGGTTCCTAGCTCTACCAGTTGCCTTGCTCCCATCAGACCCTTCCAAATCCAAGATGCATTCCCAGCTACTTTGCACTTAAGCAGCGATTGTTTGGGATGGTATTTGTCCTTAAGCACTTTACTAACCAACAGATTTGGTTGTGTGATTAGCCTCCAAACTTGCTTTCCCAGTAGAGCTGTATTGAATGCCCCTAGCTCATGAAAACCCAACCCTCCTTCCTTTCTGTCCATTGACATTTTATCCCAAGCTCTCCAGTGCATCTTGTTCCTTCCATTTGCTTCACCCCACCAGTAGTTTGCCATCACCGCGTTAACCTCTTTGCATGTCTGCTTTGGTATCTTGAAGCATGACATCGTATACGTTGGCATTGCCATTACAACAGATTTGAGCATCACCTCTTTGCCTGCCGCACTTAACAGCTTGTTTTTCCATTTTTTCAACCTCTGTTGGATATTGTCTCTAATATAGCCAAACAGTTGTTGTTTCGAACCTGTGACCACCATAGGGAGTCCCAAGTACTTGCCTTGGTTGACCTTCTGGATATTTCCGAGTGCTTGGCAAACTTCCACCTTGGCTTCCTGTTCCAGATTCGTACTGAAAATGACTGAGGATTTTTCTAGGTTGATCAGCTGTCCAGTGCCTCTTTCATACACCTGGAGTATCCTCCTCAGCTCTGAAGCATTTTGATAGTCAGCTTTGCAGAAGATCAGGGAATCATCTGCAAAAAACAAGTGAGTTAACCGAGGCCCTTGTCTACTGATTCGCATTCCTTCCATTCTTCTATCCGTTGCTGCCTTCTGGAGGAGATTAGTGAAGCCTTCAGAGCAAAGCAGGAATAGATAGGGTGACAGCGGATCACCCTGTCTAATTCCCCTTTGTGGTATCACGTATTCCTTCACCTCTCCGTTGATCATGAAGGAGTAGGAAACCGAAGAAATGCAACTCATTATCCAGCTCCTCCATGTTTCATTGAAACCCATCCTCTGCATTACCGCTTCCAGAAATCCCCATTCTACCCTGTCATAAGCTTTTGACATATCTAATTTCACAGCCATAAAACCTTCTTTCCCAAGTCTTTTGTTTTTTAGATAATGTAGGAACTCATGGGAAATCATTATGTTATCTAAAATTTGCCTGCCAGGGATAAAAGCAGATTGATTTTTACTAATGCAGTAGTGAAGGACTGGTTTTAATCTGTTAGCAAGGATCTTAGCTATGATTTTATACACAGTAGTGCATAAGCTAATGGGTCTATAGTGCTTAAGAGATGTGGGAATCATGACTTTAGGAATGAGAGAAATAATGGTGTGATTGACAGACTTAATGAGATGACCCGTGTGGAAGAAGGTCTGAATAGCACCAACCAGATCTTTTTTGATTATGTTCCAAAATTTCTGAAAGAAAATAGGCGGCATACCATCTATACCTGGTGCTTTGTCTGGGTTCATGGAGAAGAGGGCAGCTCTAATTTCCTCCTCTCCCACAGGTTTAGTTAAATTAGCATTCACTCTCTCAGAAATCGTGTGTGGTATACCATCCAAGACCTCTTCCATATCCCGTGGTTCTGATGTTGTGAAGAGCAGCCTATAGTAGTCAGCAATTTCCA